CAGATACCCCGAAGAGTAAGAAATCTACGACAACAATATCAGTTTTTAACACAACTACTGATCAAATACAAGATAATGTATAGATGGTTGCCAATAGAGGGGATCTTAATTACGTGGGAAGACAAAAGATATAAAATAGATACTCTAGAAAAGGCAAGAGAATTTCATAACACACATTTTAGACTAGAAGTAGAACAGGAAAGTAGGGAGGAAACAGATAGTAAAAGTCAAGAAGAAGAACCAATAGAAACAAAGGAAGAAAAAGAAATAAGACAGAGGCAAGAAAAAGAGAGAGAACAGAGAGAAGGTGCAAAACCTAGAGAACGGATGGAAACAAGAAACACCAAAAAACAGATATAATAGGCAATGGATGAACAGATCAAACTCTTTTCGGTAAACATTAATGGCTTAAATGCCCCAAAGAAAAGGAATCAAATTTTCACAAAATTACGAAAATTAGAAGCAGATGTAATATGTCTGCAAGAAGTACACATTCAAAAAGATTATCAAAAAATCCTAGAAAACCCCAAATTAGGAAAATTATATTTATCTCTGGCCCCAAAAAAGAAAAAAGGAGTAGTGATTTACGTAAAAGAAAAAATACAATCTAAACTAGTTTATACCGATGAGCAAGGTAGAGTGGTGATGGTTGAATTAGAAATAGGAAAAAGGAAAATGTTAATTGTAGGGATTTATGCACCTAACCAAAAACTACAGGTTTTTTTTAAAGACCTACATATAAAATTAGCAGAATTAGAATATGATGATATTTGTGTAATAGGGGATTATAATGCAATAGTAAATGCAAAGAAAGACTACAAAACTGGGAAAAAAAAACAAAAGAAAAAAGAAATACTTCCAAAAGAATTCTTTACTATGGCTGAAGAACTAAACTTGGCAGACGTATGGAGGGAAACACATGAAGAAGAGGCCCAATACACCTTTTACTCCCATCCGCATAACTCCTGGTCAAGATTGGACATGGCATGGATGACCCCAAGTATCAAAACAGAAGTAGAAAAAATTGAGATAGGCACAAACCAATGGGCAGACCACAATCCACTATTCATAAACTGGAAAGGGGAAAGAAGACGTAAGAGATGGACAATGAACCAAAGATTATGTAAAGAAAAAGAATTTAATTTGATGTTAGAAAAGGAAGTAAAAATATTCTTTCAGATAAATAAAATAGAGGAAACCTCTTTACAAAACACATGGGATACTTTAAAAGCATATATAAGGGGCCTAGTAATAGCATATACGAGGAAAAAGAATAAAGAGAAGAAAAAACAATTAGATAAATTAGAGAAAGACCTAAAACAAATAGAACAAAAACTCCAGGAAAAGCCCCAGAACAAAACAATAAGAGAAGAATGGGAAATGATTAAGCATAAATTGAATTTGATAAACCAAATAGAACTAGCCCAAAAAATAAAAATGGCGAAACAAAACTATTTTGAGCACGCAAATAAAACGGGCAGATGGCTAGCCTATAAACTGAAAAAAGAACAGAAAAAAAGCATGATATACCAATTGAAAGATGATAAAGGAGAAATTCAACATAGTAAAGAGGCCAAAAAAGATATTATTAAGAAATTTTATGCGAATCTATATAATCAGGGGAAAATAGAGGAAGATAAAATAAAACAGTACATAGAGAAATCAGGAATGCCAAAAATCACAGAAGAACAAAGAATTACTCTCAATAGGCCAATAACCAAATTAGAACTAGACGAAGTACTGAAAAAGCAAAAAAACAATAAAACACCGGGTCCTGACGGGCTACCGGTAGAAATATATAAAACAATGCAAGAAGTATTGGGAGAGAATATGTTGCGATTATATAATGAAGCTATGGAGAAAGCCAAGATACCAAATTCATGGACAGAAGCCATAATAACAATCATTCCAAAAGAAGACACAGATCTCCAGTTAATACAAAACTATAGACCTATTTCATTATTGAATGCCGATTACAAAATATTTGCAGCAATCTTGGCAGAAAGAATTAAATTAGTATTAAATACATATATACACCCAGACCAAAATTTCTGCCGGGACGCCAAATAAAGAACAACATGAGAATAATACTTAATGCTTTAGAATACTATGAATCACACCCGAGAAGCAGGCAGTGTTGGTTTTTCTTGACGCCCAAAAGGCCTTCGATAACCAAAATTGGAAATTTATGATTGAACAACTACAAAATATGCAAATTGGGGAAAAATTTGGGAAAATTATAGCAGAAATCTATACCAAGCAATCAGCAAGGATAATTATGAATGATGATATAACAGACAAATTTAATATAACAAAAGGAGTTAGACAAGGCTGTCCACTTTCCCCCTTACTATATATTCTATCATTGGAAACCCTGTTGAAAAAAATTAGAGAAGATCAAGGAATTGAAGGTTTAAGGATTAATAGAGAAGAATACAAAGTTCAAGCCTTTGCTGATGACTTAGTGTTTTTGACAGAAAATCCTATGGAATCTATACCTAATTTGTTTCAAAAAATAGAAGAATTTGGAGAAGTGGCTGGACTAAAAATTAATAAAAATAAATCGAAGCTAATTGTTAAAAACCTTACGGAAATCCAAACAAAAGATTTGATAGATAATATACAAATTCAAACAACAAAAAAAATAAAATATCTAGGAATCTGCTTATCCACAAGAACATCAGCAATTAAAGAAAATAATTATGATAAATTACTAGAACAAACAAAGAAAGATTTAGAAAAATGGGAAAATTTACACATTTCATTCCTAGGAAGAATTTCGGCTATCAAAATGATTATATTACCTAAATTTCTATATTTGTTTCAGGTCACCCCAATTAAAATAGATAAACCGTTTTTTGAAAAGCTGAATAAAATAACATCTAAATTTATTTGGCAAGGGAAAAGGCCACGAATAAAATTTAAACTGCTTCAGGATACAAAAGATAGAGGAGGAGCTGCACTCCCTGACTGGGAGATATACTACCAAGCAGCAGTACTATCGTGGGTCAAAGATTGGATAGAATTAAAGGACTCTAGAACTTTAACAATTGAGGGACACGAACTTCAAACTGGCTGGCACTCCTTTATGTGGGATGAGAAATACAAAACACATTCATATTTTAAAACACATACAATAAGGAACTCACTATTACAAATTTGGCTTAAAATTAAAAAACAACATTATATGAAGATACCAAATTGGCTAGCACCGGCGGAATCAATTAGACACCCAAATTTAACAGATAAGACAAAAATAATTAGATATAAAGATATAATTGACTATCAAGGCAAACTAAAGACAAAACAACAATTGGAGACAGATTTACACAGAGGAATAGACTGGTGGACTTACATTCAAATACAATCTAAATATAGAGAGCATATAAAAACATATGAAATTTACAATCAAAAACAAGAAATAGATAAAATTATATTAAATTCAGAAAATAAATTAATTAGTAGAATTTATAAATTTCTCCTACGCTATAAATTGGAAGAAGAGACAGTCAAAGAAACGATGATTAAGTGGGCTCAAAATATCAAACACACAATACCTTTGGAAAAATGGGAAAAGTTCTGGCAGGAAAACCTAAAGTTAACGAAAGCAACGGCGTACAAGGAAAACCAACTGAAAATGTTTTATCGGTGGCATAGGTCTCCAACCAGATTGGCAAAAATACAACCTAAAAATAGCCCAATTTGTTGGAAGTGCAAAAAGGCACAAGGGACTTTCTATCATTTATGGTGGACATGCCCGGCAGCAAAGAAATTTTGGTCTAACATCAAAAAATGGTTGGAACAAATAACCAAAACACAGATTGAAAAAGAACCAGAAACATTTTTATTAGGAATATTTAACAAATCATACCCTAAGGATATTAAATATCTTACAATTCACATATTAACTGCTGCAAGAATAATCTACGCAAGAAATTGGAAACAAGAAAAAATACCAAGTGAAACAGAAGTAATAGGGAAAATTTTAGAATGCGCTGAAATGGATAGGTTAACCAAAGAATTACAAGAAAAAGAAGAATCAGACTATTATAAAATATGGAATAGTTGGTATAATTGGTTAAAAATTAGAAATACACGAAAAATATAGGGGATATATTACCGATTGATACATATATATGTAATAAAAATATTATTAGATTACAGAAAGGTGAAGGAATATATTATAAGTAGAATTGTAGAACATCACTCTGAAAAAATGCTTAAGAAGAAATTATATTCTTTTTGTGTATATGTTGTATAAATGTTCATTGTGTATATGTTACGTATGTCTTTTTTAATATTTATATTCAATAAAAATTATTTAAATAAAATAAAATAAAATAAAATTTTGTCAAATGCTGTTGGTTCTTTATTTACACCCCATGCTCTAACATGTTTCTCATATCTTGATTGAATCTGGAAATACAGTCCCCAAGCTAGATCTACCCCTTGGTTCTGCAGTTGTTGCCTAGATTTAAGGTTTCTATTTTGTTAATCACAGTAGGGCAGTGGTATTGCGCTAGGAGCTTTTGTTGCGCAAGGAGCCTTTCTGCAGCGTTCATTTTGTACTCCATCACGTTCAGTAGGGTATACGAAAAAGCTACAACCTCAATCTTTTCTTTACATTTCCAGTTAATTCAAACCATTTCTATAACAAAGTCGATCAAATCATCAAAATCTAAAATCAGTTTAGTTTTTTTTTCCATTTTAAGTGTAAATTCAGAAGTGGTTTTCAGGTGGAAACAAAACTCAGTAAATTGTTTCATTTAATTAAAACTGTCGATTTTGCCATCTCGGTCACAAATTAATGCATTTCTGTCTTTAGCTTTGTGATTATACTACTTCTAAACATCAGATTTTTATGAACAAAATTAGATATCTATTAATGTTTGCATTAATGTTTACAACAAAGACCATGAATTAAGAACAGATTTTTGAAAAATAATAAATACATCAATTTGGAAAATCATGTCCCCCCCCTTTTTTTTTTCTACATTTAGCTGATATATGGATCTTCTCCTATGAGAAATGACCAGATACAAGCTGCTTTCTTCCATCGCTTTTTCCCAGATGGTGACCAACAGATTGTGGATATTCTCCAGTTGCTGTTGTATTTTAGGTGGACATGGATTGGGCTGATTCTCCAACGTAATGAGAGTGGAGACAGATTCATTCAAAATGCTGTTCCGTTGTTTTCTCAACAAGGTATCTGCTTTGAGTTCATGGCAGAGATGGCAAAGGAAACATTTTCTAATGATATTTCAGCAGCCTTTAAAGATTTTAGCAAAATGTACATTATTATCATGAACAGCACTACCAATGTCATTATCCTATATTGTGAAAACCAAGTTACCATCATTTTCAGAATGTTGCCCTATTATACAGAATTTGAAGATATACCCATCGAGAGAAAAGATAAAGTTTGGATAATGCCAGCCCAGATGGAGTTTACATCCGTTCCTTTTCAAAAAACTAGGGGTATAGATTTTTTCCATGGTGTTATAAGTTTTGAAGTTTCTTCCAAGGAGATTTCTGGATTTAATAAATTCCTTCAGATGAGAAACCCAACATCAGAAGCGGAAGACCATTTAATGAGAGTGTTCTGGGAAGAGGCTTTTGAATGCTCTTTTCCTAAAGATAAGTTAAATGAAGAAAACTCTGGAATGCTGTGCACTGGAGAAGAGAAGTTGGACAAACTACCTAAGTCTGTGTTTGACACAACCATGACTGGACAGAGTTACAGCATCTACAATGCAGTTTATGCTGTGGCACATGCTTTACAAGCCATGTTTTCCCCCAAACACAGAACAAGAGCAAAAGTTGGGAGAGAAATGTTTTTGACTCAAAAGGCATGGCAGGTGAGAAGAGGTTGAATTAACATTTCCCATTGCTCTTCTCTAATGCAGTGCTCTGTCCTACTCCCATGTATACACACACACACACACACACACACACACATACATATATACATATATGTTTTCTTTTCATAAGCATTTATGTGTATTTCTCTTTAGCCAGGTTCTTCCAAACAAATACTGTACCTTTACAGGGAGGATACATGAGATGAAGGTGTGGCTAACTGATGAGGGCTTATAAGTCCGAAATAGATCTATCTTAGTCTCCTTAGTCTCCCAATGGGCAGCAGGGTGCTTGCTGCTGCCTGAAGAAAAAAAGCCTAGAAACTAGTGGATTAGGATTTCACTGAACTAGGGCTGCATAAAAATCTTGGTTTACATAGGAAGAACCTGGCTAAAGAGAAATACATACATATATACATATATGTATATATGTATGTATATACATACATATATACATATATAACGTATGCTGATTAGCCTGTAACTCTGTGTTGTGATTGGAGGACAGCAGTTTTTCTTCCTGCTTCCTCATCCTGGCTGTTTGGCTACGTGTTACAGGCCTAGCTTTCTACAGGCCTAGCGTTCTCTATTATGCTCTACCTGCTACAAGCTAGGCCTGTAACACGTAGCAAAACAGTCAGGATGAGGAAGCAGGAAGAAAAACTGCTGTCCTCCAATCAGGACACAGAGTTACAGGCTAACCAGCATACGTCAGCAGCAGCAAACATAGAAAAGCGACAGCTCCGACCCCGCAACACACCCATAGCTTCTAAACTAAACAAGAGCCTGAAGATGACAGGGTTGTGAGCCTGTCGAAATGTTGCTAGAAAGAAAAACTTTTAAAGTACTGGTAGGATTTTAGCTAAGGTTTTAAAGGACCTTGCAGAGTGCTCTGTTAGGATTTTTGGAAAATTTTAAGCTAGGATTTTAACCAGAATTTTAACTAACTTATTTAACATGACGCAGGAAAACACCCGAGATTTTAATTTTTTGCATATACACACCCGCGAAAACTTAAGACACACACACACACACACACACACACACACACACACACACACACACACACACACACACACACACACACACACATATATATATATATATATATATATATATATATATATATATATATATATATATATATATATATATATTGATTTCCATTCCTTTATTGCTGGATCTTGTCTAATACTTCTGGTTAAGACTTCTAATGTTAGTATGAATAATAAGTATGAATAATAATGGAGATAGAGGACAGCCTTGTCTCATTCCTTTTTTTATATTGAAATTTTCTGTCCTACTCTTACGAATACACCGGAGTTTTGATTTTAAGTGTGCTGCTACTCTGTTTTCCATAACCTGAAACCCACCTCTGGTCCTAACACCTGTGACAGGGGAGAAACTTGGATGAGGGGTTGAAAAACACTAAGTCTATTAAAGAACACAATTATATTAAATCAATATCCATAACTTAATACCATTGAAATTGATCTCCTTCACCCCTCCCCTCCCTTTCCCTCCCCTTCCCTTCCCCTCTTTTTTAATTACCAATCTTTGCTTCATTTTAGTTACATCACTATTTGGGAACCATGTCATTTAATAACACTGCAGGAGAGAAAATTTCCTTTAATGAAAATGGGGATTTAGACACTGGATTTGACATTATCAACTGGGTCACATTTCCAAACAAGACCTTTGTTAAAGTCAAAGTTGGAAAGATCAACCCAGCAGCTTCTCCAGATAAGCTATTCTCCATTTCTGCACAAGACATCACCTGGCCTACCATGTTTAACCAGGTATTTCCTGCTCAGTTTTCAAACTGTGTATTCTTCCCCTTCCCTTCTTGTTTCCAGAATTATTGATTCAAATGGATCTTACCCTTAACATTGTCAGGCCAAAAACAGCAAAGATGAAGAAATAATGACCAGAGATTTTGAAATACAAAGATTTAAATCTCTGTTTAGCAAAATAATTTACTGATATATCCTCATTAAATCTTTATGGTTTTAGTAGAATTTAATGAAACAGCTGCTGTCTATTCCTGCTGGCATTTCAAGCTTGTCTAATTTAAAAATATATTTGACATGACAGCAGTGTTCCAATATTTGAGGGGCTGCCACAAGGAAGAGGGTGTTGACTTATTTTCCAAAGCACCAGAAGGCAAAACTAGAAACAATGGATGGAAACCAACCAAGGACAGAAACAACCTAGAACTAAGGAGAATTTTTCTAAATGAGAACAATCAATAGCTTGCCTTCAGGGGTTATGGGAGCTCCCTCACTGGAGGCTTTTAAGAAAAGACTGGACATCCATTTGTCTGAAATGGTATAGGGTCTGCAGCTTGAACAGGGGGGTTGACTAGAAGATCTCCAAGATCCCTTCCAACTCTGATGATGATGAGGATGATGATGAGGAGGAGGAGGAGGAGGAGGAGGAGGAGGAGGAGGAGGATAATGGATGGGACATTCTCCAATTTCCCCTTTATGTCCAGATTGACAGGAAGAATAGTGAAACTGTTGTTCTTACTTTGTTACTTTTCCCATCAATTCTTGAAAGACATTGAAATAGAATGTTCTGAAACTTTTGAGTTTCAATAATTCCTGATTTCTCTTCTTGATAGGTTCTACCTCTTTCTGTTTGCAATGACAATTGCTATTCTGGGTCCAGGAAGATGAAAATAGAAGGGAAGCCATTTTGCTGTTATGATTGCCTTCCATGTGCAAAAGGGAAAATTTCAAACCAGATGGGTGAGACCTGTGTTGTGTAAAACTATCCAGTCTTCTTAACTGTGATTCAAAATGCTAATTTTCAAACTTCCTACAACTGACTTCTAATGTGGTGATCGGGCCTATGATATTACTTTTTTGTTGTTGTTAGTTGCAAAGTCGTGTCTGACCCATTGCGACCCCATGGACAACATTCCTCCAGGCCATCCTCTGGAGTCCATTTAAGCTCACACCTACTGCTTCAGTGACTCCATCCAGCCACCTCATTCTCTGTCATCCCCTTCTTCTTTTGCCCTCAATCTTTCCCAGCATTAAGCTTTTCTCCAGTGAGTCCTTCCTTCTCATTAGGTGGTCAAAATAGTTTTATCTTCAGGATCTGGCCTTCTAAAGAGCAGTCAGGGTTGATCTCCTCTAGGACTGGCCGGTTTGATCGCTTTGCAGTCCAAGGGACTTGCAGGAGTCTTCTACAGCACCATAGTTCAAAGGCCTCAATTCTTTGGCGCTCAGCCTTTCTTATGGTCCAACTTTCAGAGCCATACATTGCAACTGGGAAGACAATAGCCTTGACTATACATACTTTTGTTGGCAGGGTGATGCCTCTGCTTTTTAGTATGCTATCTAGATTTGCCATAACTTTCCTCCCCAGGAGCAAATGTCTTTTAATTTCTTGGCTGCAGTCCCCATCTGCGGTGATCTTGGAAACCAGGAAAATAAAATCTGTCACTACCTCCATTTCTTCCCCATCTATTTGCCAGGAATTGAGAGGGCCTGATGCCATGATCTTAGTTTTCTTAATATGGAGTTTCAAGCCAACTTTTGCACTCTCTGCCTTCACCCGCATGAAGAGGCTCTTTAGTTCCTTTTTGCTTTCTGCCATAAACTGGTATCACTTGCATATCTGAGGTTGTTGATATTTCTCCTGGCAATCTTAATTCCAACTTTTGATTCATCTATCTCATGATGTGCTCTGCATATAAGTTAAATAGGCAGGGCAACAGTATACAGCCTTGCCAGACTCCTTCCCCAATTTTGAACCAATTAGTGGTTCCATGTCCAGTTCTCACTGTTGCTTCTTGACCTGCATATAGGTTTCTCAAGAGACAAATAATCATAATCATAAGTTTATTTGTCAAGCATATATAAGATAACAGATAAAAGTATAAACATAATTTGAATACATGAAAAGAGATAAGTAAAAAGAAATATTAGGACAGTGACTGTAGGCACGCTGGTGCACTTATGCACGCCCCAATCTCTTTAAGAACTTGGCACAATTTGTTGTGGTCCACACAATCAAAGGCTTTAGCATAGTCAATGAAACAGAAGTAGATGTTTTTCTGGAACTCCCTAGTTTTCTCCTTGATCCAGTGTATGTTGGCAATTTGATCTTTAGTTCCTCTGCCTCTTCAAAAACCTGCCTGTGCTCTGGTAGTTCTCGATCCACATACTGCTGGAGCCTAGCTTGTAGGATTTTAAGCATAACTTTACTAGCATGTGAAATGGGTGCAATGGTGCAATAGTTTGAACATTCTTTGGCATTGCCTTTCTTTGGAATTGGAATCTAAACTGACCTTTTCCAATCCTGTGGCCACTGTTGAGTTTTCCAAATTTGCTGGCAAATTGAGTGTAGCACTTTTACTGCATTATCTTTTAAGGTTTTGAATAGCTCAGCTGTCTCCTCCACTAGCTTTGTTGTTGCTCAGATTTCCTAAGCCCCATTTGACTTCACATTCTAGGATATCTGGCTCGAGGTCAGTGACCACCCCATTGTGTTTATCGGGGATGTTAAGCTCATTCTTGTATAGTTCTTCTGTGTAATTTTGCCCCCTCTTCTTAATCTCTTCTACCTCTGTTAGGTCCCTGCCATTTTGGTCCTTTATCATGCCCATCTTTGCATGAAACGTTCCTTTCATATCTCCAATTTTCTTGAAGAGGTCTCTAGTCCTCTCTATTCTATTGTTTTCTTCTATTTCTTTGCTCTGTTCATTTAAGAAGGCATTCTTATCTCTTCTAGCTATTCTCTGGAATTCTGCATTCAACTGGGTGTATCTTTCTCTTTCTCCCTTGCCTTTCACTTCCCTTCTTTCCTCGGCTATTTGCAAAGCTTCCTCAGATAACCATTATGCTTTCTTGCCTTTTTTTTCTTTGGGATGGTTTTAGTTGCTACCTCTTGTACAATGTTGCAAACCTCCATTCATAGTTATTCAGGCACTCTGTCTATCAGATCTAATTCCTTAAATCTATTTGTCACCTCTATCGTATATTCATCAGGGATATGATTTAGTTCATACCTGAGTGGCCTAGTGCTTTTCCCTACTTTCTTCAATTTAAGTCTAAATTCTGCAACGAGAAGCTCATGATTTGAGCCATAGTCAGCTCCTGATCTTGTTTTTACTGACTTTATAGAGATTCTCCATCTTTGGCTGCAGGCGCATAGTCAGTCTGATTTCTGTGTTGACCGTCTGGTGATGTCCATGTATTGAGTCGTCTCTTGTGTTGTTGGAAAAGAGTGTTTGCTATTGTATTATCTTGACAAAATTCTATCAGCCTGTGCCCTGCTTCATTTTGTACTCCAAGGCCAAACTTGCCTGTTATTCTGGTTATCTTTTGGCTTCCTACTTTAGCATTCCAATCCCCCATGATGATAAGGACATCATTTTTTGGTGTTAATTCTATAAGGTGTAGGGCTTCATAGAACCGGTCAATTTCATCCTCTTCAGCACCAGTGGTTGGGGCATAGCCTTGGATTACTGTGATATTGAATGGTTTGCCTTGGATTTGAACTGAGATCATTCTATCATTTGGGGGATTGTATCCCAGTATTGCTTTTCCTACTCTTTTATTGATTATGAAGGCTACTCCATTTATTCTGAGTGATTCTTGCCCGCAGTAGTATATCTGATGGTCATCTGAATTAAATTCACCCATTCCTGTCCATCTTAGTTCTCTGATTCCTAAGATGTCAATGTTCAGTCTTGTCATCTCTTGTTTGAGCATATCCAGCTTGCCTTGATTGATGGATCTTACATTCCAGGTTCTAATGGAGAGAAAATCTTTACAGCATCTGACTTTCTTTTCACCACCAGATGCGTCCACAGCTGAGCGTCCTTTTGGCTTTGGCCTATTCGCCTCATTCTTTCTGGTGCTCCTATATTTAGCCCTCTGCTCTTCCCCAGTAGCATATTGGACACCTTCCAACCTGAGCGGTTCATCTTCTGGCATCATTTCTTTTTTTCCTTTTGGTACTGTCCATGGGGTTTTCGTGGCAAAAGATACTGGAGTGGGTTGCCATTTCCTTCTCCAGTGGATCACATTTTGTCAGAACTCTCTGCTATGACCTGTCCGTCTTGGGTGTCCCTGCATGGCATAGCTCATAGCTTCATTGAGCTACACAAGCCACAACAAGGCCATAATCAATGAAGGGGATGATATTGCTTTATAAATACTAAAAATGAAAGGGTTACCACAAACAATATGTAAGCAACAGAACATCTCCATATTTACAGCATCACACTAAATATAAATAGCCATTAATTAATTAGTAAAAAATTAAACCCAATAATTAACTCTCAGTCCTGCTACCTGATCTTTTCTAGAAATTGACCATGATGTTTTGTTTTTTGCAGATGCAGTTGACTGCTTTCAATGTTCAGAAGACCAATATCCAAACAAGGCTCAAAACCTTTGTATTCTAAAAACAACCACCTTCCTGTCTTACAATGAGCCACTGGGAATCACCTTGGCCAGTGTTAGTCTCTTCCTTTCTTTCATCACAGCTTTGGTGCTGAGGATCTTCATTAAACAGCGGGACACCCCCATTGTCAAAGCCAACAACAGGAGCCTCACCTACATTCTTCTCATTGTTCTCCTGCTCTCATTCCTTTGCAGTTTACTCTTCATTGGGCAACCTGACCAAGCAAAATGTTTCATGCGACAAGCTGCTTTTGGCATCATATTCTCAGTAGCCCTTTCTTGCATATTAGGGAAAACAATCCTTGTTGTTCTTGCTTTCATGGCCACCAGGCCAGCTTCCAAAATGAGGAAATGGGTGGGGAATAGGCTGGCTTTTTCTATTGTCCTATTTTGCTCCCTGGCACAATTTACTATTTGTACAGTGTGGCTGACAATTTCTCCCCCATTCCCAGATTCTGACATGCACTCTATAGCTGAAGAAATTGTCCTACAATGTAATGAAGGTTCAACCACAATGTTTTATACAGTGCTTGGCTTTCTGGGGTTCTTGACTGCTGTCAGTTTCACTGTGGCCTTCCTAGCTAGGAAGTTACCAGATAGCTTTAATGAAGCCAAATTTATCACCTTCAGCATGTTGGTCTTTTGTAGTGTCTGGATATCATTTGTTCCAACTTATTTGAGTACCAAGGGGAAATACATGGTGGCTGTGGAGATCTTCTCCATTTTAGCTTCAGCAGCTGGACTACTGGGCTGCATCTTTTCCCCCAAATGCTATATCATTATTATGAGACCTGATTTGAATACAAAGGGACAGTTAATAAAAAAATAATGCTGAATATGAAGTTAAATTTGCTCATTGATTCCATGCAGCCTTCCCTCCTTCTCTAACCAAATAATACAAAATAACATTAATGAGGACCTTTATTTTCTCCAACCTGAATTCTCTGCATTTGGTCTTTAAGATACTACCTAGCCTTCCCTGATCACTTTAATGACTGCTATTATCTCTTATGGCAGCCTTTTTCTACTAAGCCATGCCTTCTCAAAGTATCTATAGCACAGCCAAATTCAATTTTCTTTGATTCTCATAATGTACCTTCTCCTGCATACCCAGTTACCCTTGTTTTCTTTTCCCAACCACATACATTTCTTGGATCCAAGTTAACATTAGTCAAAGTAAATATATTCTAATTCCCAAAGATCTGAATAATTTATAGAGATTGGCTCAATTAAGCTTTGCTCCAGCATATGATTATTTCCTAGGCTGCTTAAGGAAAAATGATACTTATTTTTAGACAAAATATCTAAGAAACCAAAGACACAGGAAAAACTCATGACTTTGCAGCTAGGCACTATAAATAAATGAATAATGATAGATATGTCCCTAAAGATTAAGAGGATAGGAGTGAAGGTTATAAAATCCAAAAGCAGGTCATAGTTTAGGTCTAACTGGGTTTCATCAATATATGCCAGTATGAATCACAACTATGAGTAGGTTGTGGGAAAATGTACTTTTATAGAAACATAAAATACTATGGGAGAAAAAGACCTATTAGTCCATTGAGTCTGCCCTTTAAGCTTATTTGTTTTTTCTTTTCTTTTTAATGTATTTTTAATTATTATTTTTAGATCATATATGTGTGTGTGTGTGTGTGTGTGTGTGTTCACTTGCCACATACCTCTTTGTATGTGGAGATGGAGATGGCAATAAGCAATTACATAGTCCTTGATATTCTAAAATATTAATAGTGGATATATTGATTGGCAAATTGACAGTTCATTTTGGCCATGTTGCTAAAAATGTTTAGCTTAATCATTTAGTTCTCAGAATATGGAATTACAATAATATGTTTAAAAAAATAGTAGTCTATGTGTTTTGCATTAAAATATGTTGAAAATTATGACTCTGACTGATTTAACTTTGACTGTCTTTATAATTGTAGCCCAATTATTAATTAACTCCCATTACAAAGAATAAGTCAAGTAGAATGATATAACTAGATTGGAAATAACAGAATAACAGAGTGGGAAAGGACCTTGGAGGTCTTATAATCTAACTCCCTGCTCAAGCAGGAAACCCTATACTATTTCAGACAAATTATTGTCCACTTTTTCTTAAAAACCTGTGTTGGAGCACCCACAGCTTCTGGAGGCAAGTTATTTCAATGATTAATTGTTATAGGAAATTTCAAATTAATTTCAAATTAATTTTGTAAGGAAATTTTTCCTTAGTTCTAGGTCGGTTCTTCCCTTAATAAATTCCATCTATTGTTCTTGTTCTGTCTTCAGATCCTTTGGAGAATAGGCTGATCTCCTCTTCTTTGTGATAGCCACTTAGATATTGCCATGTTTTCCCGAAAATAGGACCTACCCTGAAAATAAGCCCTAGCATGATTTTCACACCTGTGCCTAATATAACCTCTACCCCAAATATAAGCCCTAGTGAAAGGAGTGGGCATGGCCCACACTAGAGACAGCAAATATGCATGGGCCGATGGTATCTGGCAGCAGCCACAGACAGTTCAGCACAGGTGAGTTGATTACCTGTACTAGCAGCAGACAGAGGCAGAGCTGTGGAAAAGCCAAGAGTCGATGGGCTGGAGCAGCGGCCAGTCATGAGAAGCTTGTCTTCACATGGCAGCAACAGCAGCAGATGGAGGCAGAAGCACAGGGCAGAATGCAGGTGATCCAGAAACGCTGTGTGGGCAATGGTGGGTAGCAGTTATTTGGGCTGTGTCGCTGAATTGCTAGTGACTGCTGGCTGGCCATGCCCCCAAACTGGTCCCCTGCTTGCTTGCTCTGGCTGCCCGATGCTCGCTTCCCCCGTCCCTACCCCTCTGGTCAACCCAGTCACTCCTCATTTCTACTGTGTGGGTTCTCGCTTGCAGCTTGCCAGCCTGAGTGGCCCTGATCTGCCTGCCAGGTAACCCTGTGAATCACGGCCTATGTAGCTGCCCTGCGCCCCCCCCCCCCATCCCAGCCTGCCTCCCCTACTCTGTGGCCCGTAGCCCTAACAAGCTTGCCTGCCTTCCACATGGCCTTCCTGGTGTCCACGGGGCCAGCTTGCGAAGGCAGGCAAGTGGCCTGGCCATGGGGACTGCCGGGAAGGTTGTGTGGAAGGCATGCAAGCATGGCAGGGCTGTCTGGCTGTGGGGAAGGGAGCTAGCACCCTACTCCCTTCCCGCAGCCGTGCCAAGCTTGCCTGCCTTCCCCGCAGCCTTCCCGGCAGTCCCCATGGCCAGGCCACTTGCCTGCCTTCGCAAGCTGGCCCCGTGGACACCAGGAAGGCCATGTGGAAGGCAGGCAAGCTTGTTAGGGCTATGGGCCACAGAGTAGGGGAGGCAAGGTGTTCCCGTGGCCAGCTTGCCACCCCCCGCCACCCCATTTCCCCTTTACCTTTCTTTAATGCACCCCACTTCCCTCCCCAAACCTTGGGAGGCAGCTGTTTCCATTGTTTACACTAAAGTAAAAGACACATCTTGAGTAAGCCATGAAGTTCAGTGTTGTGAACATTTGCATACTACTCCTGTAAGTGGTACCCTACATTTACTGGTGGAGAACATTGGAGAATGAGAAACCTGACACTTAGAATGAAGCTACCTTTAACTAGAAGACTAACTTGTTTGCTCATAATGGAACTGCCCTTCTCCAATATTTCAACTGTCCTAAACTCTAAGGCAACACGCCATTTTCAGAGAAAATATGCTTAGAAACTAATACAAGGATTTTACATTGCAGATTATATTGCACTGAATATCGCTTCATTAACTTATGCAGTGAAACTATTCAATGATGAATTGCTTTTCTTGTAGACCAGACCAAATTACATGTAACCCAACATGCTAGTCACAAAACAATCACTTGCTTCTGGCCTCTCACAAGGTCAGAGAAATATGGAGAGATTTTTCTCCAATGATTTTTGAATAGGAGGTCTATGGATATAAATAAAGCTACGTGTATAATAACAGGGATTTAAGCAAAAGAAGATTGAGCCAAAACTGATGCAAACTTTCCCCCTTAGCACAATCAAATGTACTGTAGCATGTCTTACTGACTGATTAGATCGTATCAGATGTAAAAGATCAGAATAAATTCAGAGCATACAAACAGATTTTGCAAACAGAATATCAGAGAGCTAGAAGAGAGGTTTAGGTCATAATATCCAACTACTTGCTCAGTCCTAGAGCTTTAAATTTAATCTTAAACCAAATAGTTGGGTTAACCCCAAAAGCAATAAGCAATCCCAGTTGCTGGGATGAACACTAACATGGTTACCACATCAATGGTGGGTTGACCCCGACTCGGACTGGTTCGCAAGAACCGGTAGTAAAAATGGTGGGAGGCTCCGCCCACTGACCCGGATGTCATCACAGGTGATCTGCACATGCATGTCATAAATTTTCCTTAGATCTAAATATTAGATTTGATTTATTGGGAATAAATTTATTAGGGATATAATCTAAAAAAATCATTATTACATCTATTTCTTTGATTAGATTTCTTAGATTGGCTTTATTAGAAATATCTCTTTGTATGCCTTCAAATCAGTGTCAACTAGAAGAATAATTTTGCAGAAAATATGCTATGCTTCTCAATACTTTTGGGGTGGAAGAAGGATGGAAGAAAATAAAGTATATCTGACTTCCTGTGAAGACATGGCTGGCAATTTACATGCCCAGAGAATCTCCTTTTTCTGGACTGTCATTTTTCCAACTCAACAACACAAGGAAAAGGCTTCCTTTTGTCTACTTGACTTTCCAAGGTTAAGGAAAGTCCCAGAATAATCACTCAAGATTCTCTGATCCAATCTAAGAAATCTAATCAAATAAATAGATGTAATAACGATTTATAAGATTATATTCCTAATAAATCTAATTTGTAGCTCTCCATTGTAGCTGTATTGTAGCTCTAATACTTTATCATCTAAAAAAAAAAAAAAAACATTATTAGGCCCATTTGGGGGCAGAGGAGGAAGAGAAGGAGGAGGAGTAACTTCTGGGAATTTTCTAGTGTTTTTGAAAATGCATACCTGATGATTATCTAAGGTGATGATTATGAAATCATCATTACTCTCAAGGCAGAAAAAAATATTTTTCCACTCTAATTGCATACAGGTATATACTGTAACTCCTGAACGGATCGAAGGGAGGGTTAGTGTATGTATGTATGTATGTATGTATGTATGTATGTATGTATGTATACATGTATCTATCCATCCATCCATGGATTCAGCAGATCAGTGTGTATGCATTTAGTGGTAGGATCCAGAACGATGAAGACCATGGCATACTAAATAGCTGGATGATGATGATCAAAGTAGGAGTAGGAGATCTTAAATTAAGGGACAATCATTTTGCCTGCTGCATGAGAGGGTCCTCCTTGTCCCTGAGACTTCTTCTGTGTTTGCTGCTACTGCCACTATCAGATTTTGGGATATCTCCAGCAGTGTGTACCATTCGTGAGTCTCTGAAAGTGCAATACCAATATTTTCTGCCAGGTGATGTGATAATTGGTGGGATCATTTCACAGCTTTTCTCGTTTTCTGAAGGAGCAGACTTCAGCTCACACCCTACACCCAAGTGTGATGTTGAACCTGTGTAAGGAAAACCTCATTGATTTCTGTAATACTTGGTTATTTCCTGGCAGTGCCAATGATATGCTTTTAGCAACATGACATAGATTCAAGAAATCAGATTAATTTTACTCCTACATCCATTTATTCTAATCTTCTGGTAATAGAAAATAGGAGATTGAAATAGTGGTCAGACCGAAAACACACATGTGGTAGCCATGTTAGTTTTCATCCCAGCAACTGTTATTGCTCTTGGGTTTAACCCAACTATTTGGCTTCAACGTAAAGTTCCAGCACTGAGCAAGTAGTTGGATATTATGATTTAAACCTCTGTTCTAGCTCTCAGATATTCTGTTTGCAAAATCTGTTTGTATGCTCTGAATTTTGTTCTGATCTTTTACATCTGATAGGATCTAATCAGTCAGTAAGATTGGAGAAGGGCAGATCCATTACAAGCAAACAAGCTAGTCTTCTAGTTAAAGGTAACTTCATTCTAAGTGTCAGGTTTCTCATTCTCCAATGTTCTCCACCAGGAAATATAGGGTACCACTTACAGGAGTAGGATGCAAATGTTCACAACACTGAACTTCATGGTTTACTCAAGATGTGTCTTTTACTTTAGTGTAATGCTGAAAAAATATCAGCACACCCTAGCCTTGGCGTTTGCGGTGAATGAAATCAATGGAAACAGCATGATCTTACCCAATAGAACGCTGGGATTTCATATCTATGATAGCCACTTTGATGCCCAGATAGCTTATCAAAACACGCTGAACTTGCTCTTTAATCAGAAGCCAACTATTCTGAACTACAAATGCAGCAAGAAGATACCAGCAGCTGTCATTGGGGGTACTGACTCAGAAACTTCCCTCCACATAGCTACTATCTTAGGGATCTACAAGATTCCTCAGGTAAGGTAGATTGCACCTCTATTTGTTTAGGAACTTATTATCTATTATAGTGTTTCTCAATCTTGACAATTTTAAGATGGATGGACTTTAACTTTCAGGTGATGTACTTTAAAAAGTTATTAAGACATTTATTATCCACATTTATTAAGAAGTATTTTCATTTGTTAAGAAACTTATTATCTACATCTTATTGTTAATATTTTCTCTATAGTGATGTACCAAAAGCACATAGAAATAATATAACTTCTAAGTTTTTGTGAGAGAATACAAAGTTTTAAGATCTGATTGCCAGCACCACAAAATACATGTAACTTTTTTTTTCTTGTATTAATGTGATGCAATTTCATTCTTCTTTGCTGGTAATGTGATATTTCAGGAAGAGTGAGACTTATTGCATTATTTCTCTCTCATTTGCTGAGTGGTAAATTTGTTTATAAAACTTGATATAATCATACAAGTTATGAATGGATAATATGAATAAAAGGGGTTCCTTGTTGGAAGGACAAAACTGGATTCATGTTTTAGATTCTCACAATGCCAACTGGTTTTTATCTTTAATACTAGCTGAATACCTGTGTTCCACTATGAAACTATGTGATCGGGCTTGATAAATCGACATTTACAGCTTGAAAATTAATGAGTAGTTACGATTGACCTTTCCTCTCCCCTTCTCTCCCTCAGCCTTGCCCCACAGAATCCTCCCCTATCCTATCCCCTTCTCTCTCTCAGCCTTGCCCCACAGAAGCCTATCCGATCCCCCTTCTCTCCCTCAGGCTTGCTTCACAGAAGCATCCCCTATCCTATTCCCTGCTTGCTGTTGTGAAAGTAAAACTGAAACTCCTCTCCTCTGCTTGTGTTTTGCATTTGGAACAGATTTCGTTTCAGGTGGGGAGAGGGAGTAAAACTCCTTAGCATCAGAGCATGTTAATAATAATATAGGAAATACTAATGCTCTGATGGTTATTTTGAAAAATCCTTTCTTAGTGAGCACCTAGAAGCCAAGAGGAACATACGTGGCAAATTTCAAGTTTGTAGGCTTTATGGTTCTGGAGATTTTGTGATGATGCATGAGTGGTATTTCACTTTTATATATGTAGATGGTGATTATCTTCTTTCCCTTTTGTCTCTTTATCCTGGCTTTAACTTTTCTCTTTTTTTTCTTTCTCTCAGTTCCTTTTACACTCTTCATTCCTTATCATTGCATTACAGAAGAGGATCAAAAGTAATCTGATACATGAATAACCACTGAGGCTTTTTAAAGCTCTTTGAAGCTTACATAAAAAATAAACATGATAAAAGGAAAGTTTCATATTCTTATGTTAGATTTTGTTGGCGCCGTCTGAACTTAGACTGTAACCAGGAAAATAAAAGGAATAATATTGAATCAAAAATAAACAGTGAAAAATTAGAGCAAGTAGAGGAACATTTGGATTTCATGCATTGTTAACTAGAGATGGGAAAATGGATGACAAAGGAAATAATATGTATAAATGCAGATAAAAGAAGTCATGATAATATGGAATCACTTATGGAGAAAAAATTGTGTATTTTATTATTTATTTATTCATTTATTTATTTTGGTTTGGTTTAACTCATGTTAAGGAGGGAGAAAACTATATGCTACATAGAGTCAGTTTGTGATTGGAGCAGCCCGTGGGTGTTGTAAACTAACTATTTTATTTTTTTAGACAAAACTAAACACTACTGTGTTCTTCTCCTCACCTTGCTATGGAAGTGGGAATTAGGTAACTTAGGAGAAACAGAAAAGTTACCTTGTTTCCCCCAAAATAAGACATCCCCTGATAATAAAGCACTCCATGGCTTAGGGCCACGGTATTTACGAGACTGCCTTCTGCTACCAATAACCTCCCACTGGCCAATACGCTCCCACAGAGAGGGCCTCCTCAGGGTGCCGTCGGTCAAGCAATGTCGGCTGGTGGCCCCCAGGGGAAGAGCCTTCTCTGTGGGGGCACCTGCCCTCTGGAATATGACTGATCCCAGATCTCTGCACTTTCCGTAAGGCCCTGAAGATGTTTTTATTTCAGCAAGCCGGCCAAGTATAATTAAGTTTTTTATGGGTTAGTTTTTAATTGTATAGCTTTGGCTTTTTAAATTGGGGGCCGATTGATTTAATTTATTTTAGCTATCTTAACTTTTATATTGTATGTATTTTAATTTCGGCTGTTCACCGCCCTGAGTCCCTAGGGGGAGAAGGACGGTATATAAATTCAAATATAAATAAATAAATAAATAAATAAAAATAAGACCAATCGGGCTTTTGAGCGCATGGCAATAAGGCCAAGTGCTTATTTCAGGATTCAGAAAAATATAAGACAGGGTCTTATTTTGGGGAAACATGGTAGTTGAATGCAGTCTGTGTTTAATAGCATGAGAGATAAGGTCAAGAATGGACAGGTGAGAAATGAATTTAGAAAGAATACAAAAGTGTATGAGTGTGTGAGGAAAGAGGTTCATGTTTCTATTATATTCTATTATATGTAGAAGGTATGAAGACAATAGGTTGTAAATAAAGAGGAAGCAAGATTTTAATTGGTCATGAAATATATTGACTGAGCATTTGCATGGAAAGACCAAAAGCCTTTTTATTATACTACATTTTTCTGAAGTTAAAATGTTGAGGAGAAGAGGTTTTAAGGCTACAATGTAAGGGGAAAAAACCTAGCATTATAGAAAAGTGCTTGACCCTGCAGATATTTTTATATTTCCCTATTATGAATCTAATTATATAACCCTGAGTCTTCGGAGAGGGGCTGCATACAAATTGAATTAATAAATAAATAATAATAAATAGAGATGGGAAAATGGATGACAAAAGAAATAATATGTATAAATGCAGATAAAAGAAGTCAGGATGATATATAATCTGTTATGTGGAACAAATACTGTGTTTTATTATTTATTTATTCATTTATTTATTTATTTTGGGGTTTGGTTTGGTTCATCTCATGTTAAGGATGGAGAAAATTAAATGCTACATAGGGTCAGTTTGTGATTGAAGCAGCCTTTGAGTATGCTGTAAACTAACTAAGTATTTTTTTTTAGAAAATAAAATAAAAATTACTGTGTTTTTGTGTTTGACCCTGCAGATATTTTTATATTTCCCGATTATGAATGTAATTATCTTGGCCTTTAGGTCTCCTATTGTTTATATAGTCCACCAGTGAATGATATAAGTCACCCGTCTTTCTTATACCGCATGGTACCTAATGAAGTGCATCAGTATACAGGAATAGTCCAGCTCTTGCTTCATTTTCAATGGAAGTGGATTGGGATCATGGCCATGGATGATGATAAAGGAGAAACGTTTGTGCAGACCTTGGAGAAAAGCTTTAATGATAATGGGATCTGCACTGCCTTCTCTGAACGAATGCCACCCCAAAGCAATATTTTACACATGGTTGATAATTTCAATGACATGTTTAGGGAAATGGCCCTGTTGCTGAGTAAAGCAAACGTCAATGTGTGTGTTGTAAGTGCTGATGCTCACATGATGTTAGATTTGCAGCTAGTGCTCAACCTTGTCGAATCAGACATGATGCTGCCTGTGCAGAAAGTATGGGTGATGACAGCCCATTGGGATTTTTCAGTGGAGCCCTTTTTAAACAATTTAAATATGCAGATCTTCCATAGCACCTTGTCCTTTGCAAGTCGCACCTCGGAGATGTCAACATTTCAGAATTTCCTTCTATTTCAGGACCCCCATTCTCTGACCGATCATTTTATCAGAGTCTTCTGGGAACAAGCATTTAAATGCTCGTTTCCAGCTTCTGCAACAGACAAAGGAAGCTGTACTGGCAATGAGAGACTAGAAAGCCTTCCGCGTTCTTTTTTTGAAACCAGCATGACCAGTCAAAGCTACAGTGTTTATAATGCTGTCTATGCTGTGGCACATGCTTTGCATGCCTTTTACTCATCCAGAAGGAAATACAGAGTAGTGTTGGATAGAGATCACCCAAGGACTTCTAAATCACAGTATTTTCAGGTAATGTTGCATCTAAAAGATTTTTAAAATGCATCATTATTATTGTTAATATTAGTGCCTTCACTTATATTATTTAATATAAAATTTAAAATCAATTAAAAGAATTATACAGCTTTGGCCCATAATTTAAAACAATTCAATTAAAACCCAAGTTACACTTAAAAAACTAAAAAGCTAAAAAGAGCTAAAAAGGGGGGGGGGTTCACGCCAGCCCTGCTTGATGGAAAAGAAAAGTTTTTAGGGCACGGCGAAAGGCCCGGAGATCCAGTATCCTTTGTATCTCCGGGGGCAAATCGTTCCAGAGTGCAGGTGCTGCCACAGAGAAAGCCTCCCCCTGGGGGTCACCAGCAGACATTGCCTGGCTGACGGCATCCTGAGGAGTCCCTCTCTGTGGGAGTGTACTGGTCGGTGGGAAGCTATCGGCAGCAGAAGATGGTCTCGCAAATACCCAGGTCCGATGCCATGGAACGCTTTAAAGGTGGTGACCAACACCTTGAAGCGCACCTGGAAGACCACTGGAAGCCAATGCAACTCGCGCAGGAGAGGCATCACATGGGAGCGCCCTCTTGCTTCCATAATTTCCTGCGCGGCCACATTCTGCACCAGTTGGAGCCTCCGGGTGGTCCTCAATGGGAGCCCCATGTAGAGAGCATTGCAGTAGTCCTGGCGGGAAGTGACGAGCGCCTGAGTGACTGTGCGTAAGGTGTCCCGATCCAGAAAGGGCCGCAACTGGCGAATCAGGTGGACCTGATGAAAAGCCCCTCTGGCCACGGCCATCATATGCTCTTCCAAAGACAGCCGTGTATCCAGGAGGACGCCCAAGTTGTGAGCCCTCTCCGTGGGGGCCAATGACTCGCTCCCAATAGCCAGCATTGGCACCAGCTAGCTATATCGGGACGCCGGAAGCCACAGCCACTCGGTCTTGGAAGGGTTGAGTCGAAGCCTGTTATTCCTCATCCAGATCCGCATGGCCTCCAGGCACCAGGACATCACTTCAAGGGCATTGTTGGGATGGCCTGGGGTGGAGATGTACAGCTGAGTATCATCAGCGTACTGATGGAACTCCACCCCAAAGCCACGGATGATCTCACCCAGCGGCTTCACATAAATGTTGAACAGAAGGGGCGAGAGGACCGACCCTTGTGGCACCCCACAAATGAGGCACCTCGGGGTCGACCTCTGCCCCCCTGCCAACACAGACTGCAACTGGTCAGAGAGGTAGGAGGAGAACCACCGCAAAACGGTGCCCCCCCACTTCCAACCCCTCCAACCGGTGCAGCAAGATACCATGGTCGATGGTATCAAAAGCCACTGAGAGATCTAACAGGACCAGGATAGAGGAACAACCCCTATCCCGAGCCCTCCATAGATCATCCACCAACATGACCAATGCCGTTTCCGTGCTGTACCCAGGCCGGAAGCTGGACTGGAGCGGATCCAGATAGATCCAGATATAAGAAGGATTCTCATTCTGTATATACTGCCTTACTAATTCCCAGAGAAGATGCACAGAAGGAATGACAATGAGTATATGAGTAGTCCTTGACTTATGATTACAATTGGGACCAACATTTCCATGCCTAAGCGTGTTGTGGCTCCGTTACCTGAGCCTGTGTCATCGGCAAGAGAGGACTCTGAGAGTGAAGGAGAGGAGTTGGCCTCCTCTCCAGGACCCTCCTCTTTGGCAATGCCTTCGGTGTCCACCGAAGGGCAAGAGATAGGGCCGGGGCCAAGCACGTCCACGCAGCCACAGGTGGACAGTGATGAGAGTAATGAGTCTTGGCTGGATCCTCGACAGCGTCGCAGAGATAAGCGCGCGCAACAGACGAAAAGGCATGCCAGAGATTAGGCTGAGTCACTGGACCACACCCCACAGGGTATAAAAGGGAGCATGGTGGCCAGTCAAACCTTGTGACGAACAAAGCTGAAAGCTTCCACACCATTCTGCATTGCCGGACTTTTGCTATAGACTTTGCTTATATTTGGACTTAAGTTACTCTGTAATTATTGAACATTTTACTTTGATGTACCAGAAGCGGAGAGAAGTTATCTCTTCGTGAGTAATAAACTCTTGGCAGGCAGCCATTAGGTTGCTGCCAAGTTCCGTTATCATAAGGATAGGGTTTGTCGGCTGGTTTGGTTTTTAACTCTTGGACGTCTGTTGGTGTGTGTGCGTGTGGGACGGGGACAGAACAATCAGTTGTTAAGTGAGACCTGCCCATTTTTTGTCATGATTGTTAAGTGAGTCATTGTAGTTGTTGAGTGAATTACATGATGATTAAGTGAATCCAGCTTCTCCCATTGACTTTGCTATCAAAAGCTGGATGGGAAGGTCACAAATGGTGATCACAAGAGCCCAGGACACTGCAACTATCCTGTTTCCCCCAAAATAAGACATCCCCTGATAATAAGCACAATCGGGCTTTTGAGCGCATGGCAATAAGGCCAAGCGCTTATTTCAGGGTTCTAAAGAATATAACACAGGGTCTTATTTTAAGGGAAACACGGTATTGTAACTACATAACAATCAAATTTGATCACATGACTGTAAGGATGCAGCAATAGCTATAAATTCAAGGTCTAGTTGTAAGTTATTCTTTTAGTGCCATTGTAACTTTTAAAGATCACTAAATGAATGGTTATAAGTCTAGGACAACCTGCAAACCACAGAGATAAATACGTGTAAATAGACTCCACAATGGCAATAAAAGGACTAACGTTTTTCTGAGAGTATTGCTTTTGTAAATTTTGAAAGAAATGAGAGATGTATTGTTGTAGATGCAGGATGCTACCAAATCCAGAATGTAGGATTTTATCCAAACTTTTGCAGAACATTCTAATTTAAGTAAATAATAAAAACTGCACAATAAGTTATAGGAGAAAAAAAATACATAATTACAGTCCTTAATAACCATTTGGAAACTGCCCAGAGTCACTGGAAATTAGACAACATATAAATTTAATTCAATAGAAATAGTGGTAGTAGAGATAGTATCAATAGTACTATTCCCCTGGCAAATAGTAAACCTTGGCTCTGAAATAATTGGATTCCCATCAGTGACATAGAGATATCAATATATTTCTATGCTAAAAAAAAATTAGTCTATTTGAAATACATTGCCTGCTAATTCTTCGTATGCTTTTCAAACTGAGCTGAAGTGAAATATTTGATTGGGGAAGGAAATAATGGTACTCCCAATAATGGAGTGATAAAATAATTAAATAGCTTCAGAGAATATCAAAACTTTTTTCCAAGTCAAACGTTTTTCACTTTTTCCACCACTTTGGTAACACTTGCGAAAACGTCATTTATTCCAGCTTTATCATTTCCTAAGTCAAGTCTCCTTTAACAACAGTGCCAGAGACAAGGTGTCTTTTGACAAGAAGGGTGAATTGCTAGATGGATTTGACATCATCAACTGGGTTACTTTCCCTAACAAATCCTTCATGAAAGTAAAAGTGGGACAAATGGATCCTCAAGCCCCATCAGGCAGAAGGTTCTCCATCAATGAAAGAAAAATCACATGGCCAGCCCATTTTAACCAGGTAGGACCAAAATGAAGTTTCCAGTTTGAAAATTAAAATAGATGGCCTCCTTTTCTGCAATTAACGATTGCCAGTATTGTTATGATAATTGCCAGGAAGACAATTGAGAACACCATGTGGCATCAGAAAGAGCATCCGACCAGTAAACACTAATTCTTGTGGAGGAATTTAGATGTCATTTAGGTGGTTTAACTGAAGTGGTCCCTGACTTTCAGTAATAATATAATGTATATATTGACTCTATCTATGAGCAGCCCTGAAGTCAAATACAAACCACTCAGAATAACCACAAGACTATTATTATTATTATTATTATTATTATTATTATTATTATTATTATAATAAAATTAGTGGATCAGAGGATTATTATCGATATAATTTACTTGGACTTCAGTAAGGCATTTGATAAAGTAAACCATAACCTACTGGTTATGGAGGCCGTACGGATCTGGAGGCTCTGGAGGATCTGGAGGATCTGGAATTTACTTGGACTTCAGTAAGGCATTTGATAAAGTAAACCATAACCTACTGGTTATGGAGGCCTCCGTGCCTGGAGGCCGTACGGATCTGGATGGGGAGGAACAGGCTCAGGCTCAACCCATCCAAGACTGAGTGGCTGTGGTTTCCGACATCCCGATATAGTCAGTTGACGCCATCACTGACTATTGGGGGCGAATCATTGGCCTCCACGGAGAGAGCTCGCAACTTGGGCGTCCTCCTGGATTCACGGCTGTCTTTAGAAGAGCACTTGACGGCCGTGACCGGGAGGATTTTTCATCAGGTTCGCCTGATTCGCCAGTTGCGTCCCTTTCTGAACTGGGACTCATTACGCACGGTCACTCATGCCCTTGTCACCTCCCGCCTGGACTATTGCAACGCTCTCTACATGGGGCTCCCCTTGAGGAGCACCCGGAGGCTCCAACTGGCGCAGAGTGCAGCCGCGCGGGTGGTAATGGGAGCGACATGGCGTTCCCATGTAACACCTCTCCTGCGCGAGCTGCACTGGCTCCCGGTGGTCTTCTGGGTGCGCTTCAAGGTTCTGGTTACCACCTTTAAAGCGCTCCATGGCTTAGGACCCGGGTACTTGCGGGACCGCCTACTACCACCAATAGCCTCCCACTGGCTGGTACGCTCCCATAGAGAGGGGCTCCTCCGGGTGCCATCAGCCAAACAATGCCGGCTGGCGGCCCCCAGGGGGAGAGCCTTCTCTGTGGGGGCACCTACTATCTGGAACGAGCTCCCCCCAGAGATACGGAGGATCCCGGATCTGCGCACCTTCCGCCGCGCCTTAAAGACCTTACTATTTCACCAGGCCAGCCTGGCCTAATTTTCCCCCTCTTTTATAAAAGATTTTTAAAATTTTAAATATCTTTTAGTATTTTATATATTCAATTTTAAATTGGTTTTAAAAGTTTGGGGTTTTAAATTTGTCAGGGCCAAAATTATTTAATTTGATTTTATTCTATTTTAAATTTTGTATTGTATGTGTTTTTATTGTTTGGCTGTGCACCGCCCTGAGTCCTTCGGGAGTAGGGCGGTATAGAAATCTAATAAAATAAATAAATAAATAAATAAATACTACTAGATAAAGTTGAAAAATGTGGGTTAGACAGCATCACAACCAGATGAATTCGTAGCTGGCTGACCAACCACACTCAATGTGTAGTCCTCAATGGAACTGCATCTACATGGAGGGACGTATGCAGTGGAGTACCCTAAGGCTCTGTGTTAGGCCCAGTACTCTTCAACATCTTCACCAATGATTTTGATGAGGCGATAGATGGGGAACCCATCAAATTTGCAGATGACACCAAACTGGCAAGAATAGCCAACACTCCAGAAGATAGACTTCAGATACAGAAGGATCTTGACAGACTTGAACATTGGGCGCTATCTAAGAAAATGAAATTCAATGGTGAAAAAAGTAAGGTTCTACATTTAGGCAAGAAAAACATATGAAGAAAGGTTGCAGGAACTAGGTATGTCTAGTTTAATGAAAAGAAGGACTAAGGGAGACATGACAGCAGTGTTCCAATATCTCAGGGGCTGCCTCAAAAAAGACGGAGTCAAGCTATGCTCCAAAGCAGCTGAGGGTAGGACAAGAAGCAATGGGTGGAAACTAATCAAGGAGAGAAGCAACTTAGAACTAAGGAGAAATTTCCTGACAGTTAGAACAATTAATCAGTGGAACAACTTGCCTCCAGAAGTTGGGAATGTTCCAACACTGGAAGTTTTTAAAAAGAGGTTGGATAACCATTTGTCTGAAAGGTTTCCTGCCTAAGCATGGGGTTGGACTAGAAGACCTCCAAGGTCCCTTCCAACTCTGTTATTCTATTCCTATTTCTATATACAGTAGGTTATTTCAATGTAATAATGATGAAAAAAGCCTATTCTGAGTAAAGGTAAGGTTCATCAATAATACATGCTATTATGGATCAGATTCTTATATGTGTACATATCTGCACAAACACACACATACATAAAACTAATATTTTTCAGAAGTATATGATGCATGTACTGATTTCTGAAAATGGTTGGATTCAAGGAAGCCTGCCCACCAGGCTTCCATGCATTTCATCAGCCGAGGGCCCAGGGGAGGAGATGGGGGGTAGTGGTGATTATTAAAGAAAGTCTTAGTCCGAGGGAGGCCACTGTTCCTCAGATAGCCGGCTATGAATCCCTCCCTGTGAAGTGGGGTCATGGGGTGCAGATGGGTTTGTTGACTGCGTACCTGGCTCCCTGTCATGTGACAGCAGCCCTGCTTGAGCTGCTCAACGTAATAGCTGGGTGGCGGTGGATACCCCCAGACTTCTGGTCATGGGGATTTCAACCTGCCATTCATCGGTGAAATGTCAGAAGCAGCTCGGGAGTTCATGGCTTCCATGACGGCCATGGACCTGACCCAGTTAGTTCATGACCCCACCCACATCGGGGGACACACGCTGGACTTAATTTTTGTCTCTGGTCAGTGGTTGAATGATCTTACAATAGGGAACCTAGTTATTAAGCCCTTGTCATGGACAGATCATTCGCTCCTTCAGCTAGACTTTCGAACCGCTTCCCCTCATCGCAGGGAGACGGAACTGACCAGGTGGTTCCGTCCCAGGTGCCTGATGGACCCTGAGAGGTTCCTGACGGAGCTTGGGCCATCCCAGAGACTCTGACTCGCGACTCGGCTGAGGAACTGGTGGCCGCCTGGGATAGGGCAGCCACTGGAGCCATGGACCGTGTCGCACCTTTGTGGCCTCTGACTCGATGCCAATCTCAACCAGCTCCTTGGTTCTCTGAGGAGCTGAGGGAGATGAAGCGCCGGAAAAGACGCCTAGAGAGCAATTGGAGGTCCAGCCGCACTGAATCTGACCGGATACTGGTGAGGTCTTATATCAAGACCTACCTAGTGGTGATAAGAGTGGTGAAATCCAACTATTTTTCCACTCTTTTTGCATCTGCAGAGAACCTTCCAGCCGCCCTGTTTAGGGTGACCCACTCTCTCCTACAGGTGGGAGCGAGGGAGGATCCCTTGCAGGGTAGAGCTGAGGATTTCCAGCATGATAAAATTCCGGCATGATAAAATCACTCAGATTCGGGATGGCCTGGACTCCAATTGGATAGCCTCGGACGGGATGACGGAGGTGATTCTTGAGAGTGTCCCTTTCTGGATCGGGATGCCCTGCGCACAGTCACTCATGCCCTCGTCACTTCCCGGCTGTACTATTGTAATGCTCTCTACATGGGGCTCCCCTTGAGGAGCACCCGGAGGCTCCAGCTGGTCCAGAATGCAGCTGCACGAGTAATAATATTTTTAAGAAGTATATGATGCATGTACTGATTTCTGAAAATAGTTGGATTCAAGGAAATAAAATATATTTCTCTCTCTCTCTCCCTCTCTCTCTCTCTCTCTCTCTCTCTCTCTCTCTCCCTCCCTCCCTTTCCCTCTCCCTCTCCCTCTTCCTCTTCCTCTTCCTCTCCCTCTCATTAATGAATAGACTATTCCTCTTGCTCTGTGCAATCATCATTGCCCACCAGGCTCCACAAAGAAAAGGAAGGAAGGGAAGCCATTTTGTTGCTATGATTGTAATACTTGCCCATCAAGAAAATTTTCAAATGAAACAGGTAGGAAATATTGTTATATTTATGTATGTACAACTATGTGTATCCATAAAGGACACAGAGATCTCACACATATAGCAGTAGCATTTAGAGTTACAGTATATACCACTTCTCAGTGCTTTGCAGCCCTCTCTAAGTGTTTTACAGAATCAGCCTTTTGCCTCCCAACAATCTGGATCCTCATTTTACCAACCTCAGAAGGATGGAAGGCTGAGTCCACCTTGAGCCTGGTGAGATTCAAACTGCCAAATTGAAGGTAGCCAGCAGTCAGCAGAAGTAGTCCACAGCACTGCATTCTAACCACTGCACTACCATGGCTCTTCAGGTCATCCTGATTATTCATGAGACTTCTATTCTAGTTGAGCCCTCCAAAAGGAAGATTTAACAAAGGTATATTTAACAGAGATGTGAATAGGTGTTAATGTTGCTGGAGTATATCTGCCAGCATGTCTACCTTGGAGGACTGAAGGCAATGAATGATGAGAATTATTGCACATTGCAGTTCCAAAAACTATAGTTGTCCCCTGATGTTTTATGAATAGAATGTTTTCAATTAATAAATACTTCTCAGTAAACAAAAGTATGCAAATTTGAAGTACTGCTATGAATTCTGAAATACCTATTTTCACAGATATGGATGACTGCTTAGACTGTCCAGAAGAACAATATCCAAACAAGGAAAAAAATACGTGCATTCCCAAGGATCTAAATTTCTTGTCTTATAATGAAACTTTGGGCATCACTTTGACAGTTCTGGGTCTATCATTTTCTGTGACCACAGTGGTGGTACTTGGAATTTTCATAAAACATCGGAATACTCCCATTGTCAAAGCTAACAACCGGAATCTCACTTATCTTCTCCTTGTCTCCCTCTTCCTCTGCTTCCTCTGTTCCTTGCTGTTCATTGGTCAGCCCCAATTGCTGACCTGTCTTTTTCGTCAAATTGCTTTTGGGATCATCTTCTCAGTTGCGGTCTCTTCAGTTTTGGCCAAAACCATCACAGTGGTTCTAGCTTTTATGGCTACGAAGCCAGGATCAAAATTGAGAAAATGGGTGGGGAAAAGATTTTCATACTCTCTGATTCTCTGTTGTTCCTGCATTCAAGCAAGTATTTGCATAGTGTGGCTGTGCACTGGCCCTCCTTTCCCAAATTTGGACATGCGTTCTCTTCCAGAAGAGATTGTAGTTGAATGCAATGAAGGATCAGGCAACATGTTCTATTATATTTTAGGATTTATGGGATTTCTTGCTCTCATCAGCTACATTGTGGCTTTCTTTGCTCGAAAACTGCCAGACTCTTTTAACGAAGCCAAATTTATTGCTTTTAGCATGCTGGTGTTTTGTAGCGTGTGGATGACTTTTGTCCCAACGTATCTGAGCACCAAAGGAAAATACATGGTGGCTGTGGAGATCTTCTCCATCTTGGCTTCTGGTATAGGGATATTGGGATCTATCTTTTTCCCTAAATGCTACATCATTGTAATGAGACCAGAACTCAACACAAAGGACCATCTAAAAACAAAAAACTAAACATTACTAATATTCATTGATTTTGAAGAATTTAGCATGGTCTTGAAAAGAAAGTTGAAGAGATAAAATGTTGATCAGTCATGAGGAAGTGGAATGTGTGAGGAAAAGATGTAGAATAGTTCCAACTTGACCTCAATGCTCTTAAAATGGGGAAAGTTGATTGTTTGGATTAGATTTCAACTGTCTGTTTCTATAACGTATCACAATAAAGTAGTATTCCTGGAATTCCTGCACCATCAGATTCGTGACCTGGCTCACTTGAAAAGGTTGACGCAGTTACATAAAGATTCAGTGACATAAAAGGCATACTACTAGGGTACTATTAGATAGCACTCCTTAGTAAATAGTATCTAGAGCAGCGGTTCTCAACCTGGGGGTCGCAACCCCTTTGGGGGTCGAACGGCCATTTCCCAGGGGTCGCCAAAGCCCTCTCTCGCCCCCCCCCCACGCCTTCACTCACCCTCACCCTCTGCCGGATCGCATGGTCGCCGTTCGCTTACCCCGCCCACTCCCAATCTATTGCTGCCTCCGGAGTCCCAGCTGATGGCTAGAGGGGAAAAAAACTTTAAATTCTTGCCGCGGGGCTTCAAAGAGCCGCCCTACTCTCAGCTGTTTTGCGGAGGGCTCTGTTGCTAGCTAGCCGCAAAGAGGTAAATTCCTGGAGCAGATTTTTTTTCCCCTAGCTATGCTGAGAAAGGGAAATTGAAAGTAAGCAGGGTCTTGGCTGCAACGTGACAAAATGAGGCAGATAGATTTCTTTTTCCTCACCAAAAAAGGTAGGTGCAAACTGCAAACAATGGGAAATTTAGGGCAAGAGGAGGTTCAAGATTTTAAAACACAGAAGAAAAAAAGCTCTATTTAACTAGGGAATTGTAATAATTGAGATACTATTAATTGTATATTGTGTTGAAAGCAGAAATGGTTAAGTTGTGGTTTGGAGGAATATATGGGGGAAATTATTTGGTTTATTATTATTGGTAAATATAATTAATTGATTTGTAAGAAATTGGATTGCATGGAAATAATTGGAATATTCATGTTCATATTGATTAATATACAAAAAAGGTAGCTATATAACTAATTGATTTATATTAAAATGTTGAATTTGTATTAAACAACTGTATTACATAATTAACCAATGTGAGGATGGATATAAAAATAGATGACAATGGGAAGGGGTATAATATAGAATAGAAGGGAAAAATTGAATTTGATTAAGATTAGAGATGAGGATGAAGGGTAATATTGGTTTTTTAAAAAATAGATGAGGAATAAATATGGTAAAAAGGAAATATAAAAATTGTAAATTTAATTGAAATGACTAAATACTGTGTTGGAAGAAATATCCTTCTGTGTTCTGCTCCAAGTGGGGAAAAAGACACTGGAAACATGGAGACTGCTTGGAAAGATGGTTTAATGGTGGACAGGATCACATGGCTTGATGGGGCCCATTGTGTTAGTTTCTGTTGCTATTGTGTTGCAAATGTCCTTTGACAAAGGATTGAGTTTCTGCCTCTGGCCCATTAACAAAGGGTGGGGGGCAGGAAGGTGGGAGTTGCTTTGTCTGTAAAATATGCTTCTCCATTTCTCATCCAGGTAGGGAAATATAATATTCTGCCTTTTTAATATTTCCCAAAATATTTCATTCTTCTAGGAAAGGGGTGGATTCTAACCTCCTACAACTGTTTAAATTTGTGAACCGGCCAAATACTCTGTTCAAAGAAAATACGTTGTATGTTTGTATGTGTGTTTCTAATTATTGCTATTTATTGCTATTTGTTCTCTTTTATTCTTTTAACAATTCATTCTTTATCTTAATATCTTAATATTTGTTTGGGGTTGGCTTTCTTCCCTTTCATCTTTTTTATTGTACAGCAATCTTTCTCCTCAAACCTACCACCTCTCTCTTTTCTTTTCTTCTTACTTTCTCTTCCTCCCCTTCTTCTTCTCCTCCCTACTTCCTCTTCCTTTCTCCTTCTCCTCCTCTCTTCCTCCCTCTCTTACCCTCACTCCTACTCTAATTTCCCTTCCCTTCCTTCATCCCTCTCTATTGCTGTATCCTTTTATGCATATGGACTACTCAAAGGGCTGAAAAAGTTATTTTTGACTGGTCCTCGCACTTTTGACCAATCCTCGAATTTACGACTGTCCTCACATTTTACGTTTTTTGCCCTATCTTATACCATGTTGAAGAGAAGCAGTTGTGAAATGAGTGACATGGTTGTTAAGAATGCTGCACAGGCATAAATGTGAGGATGGTCATAAGTGTGAGGACCAGTCAAAAGTGCGAGGACCTGTCAGAAATGACTTTTTTCAGCCCTCTGAGTAGTCCCTATACATATAGCCATGGCCACCCGGTCACATGACCAGCTAGCCACGCCCACCCAGTCACATGACCTCCAAGCCACACCCACAAAATAAGCCACGCCCACAGAACCGGTAGTAAAAAAATTTAGAACCCACCCCTGGTTGGGGGTCACCACAACATGAGGAACTGTATTAAAGGGTCGCGGCATTAGGAAGGTTGAGAACTACTGATCTAGAGTATGCTACTCCTGCTGGAGCTGATGGAGCAGGCAGAGACAATTGGAGGAAGTTGGACCCACAAATATCCTGCTCCCATGCCATGTAAGACTTTGTAGATTGCATGAGTTACATCAGCAAGCTATTAACATTTATTGATAATACATTAAGCAACCAAAGGTGTGTTACTACTTACTAAATTTTGAACTGTTCTCAAAATGTCCAATAAATTCTCAGACAGGTTTTAGCATATCTGCAGCCAAGTTTCATTCAGCAGCCAAGTTTCAATGTCATATTCTAGCAGAACCTTCCACAATTCAGGCTGATTTAGTTTATTGTGCACTTTCTCTAAATCAAATATTGTACTATTTTGTTGGATCGATGTTTCTAGCAATTATTCTTAGTTTAGTTATTTAATAATATGAACAGTTGCTACAAAAGCAGTCCTATCATTTACCCACATTTGCAGCAAATATATTTTTACGTATTTACAAAGTTTTCATGTAAGGAAGAGGAAAATATATGGAGAATACTTAAAGCATATGTCAGGCCTTGAAGCCATCTTTTGCATTGGATCCTCAGGCCTGTCACATTTAGTACTGTGGGAAACTGGGAGGGGGGAATGTATGGAGCAGGGGAGATATATAGTCATAATAACATTCCTTTCTCTGAGAGTCAAGGACATCTTGCCCTGCACCTGGAGTGGTGTGACTGGGAGGCATCTCCAGTTTGGCATCTCATGGCCCAATCATGTCTTTCACATGATTGGGCCATGTGATGGACATGTGGGTACTGGGCAGGGACTTGGACTTTCCTATGGGTGGGGAAAACTTTCTGATTCGGGTTTTCCCACATGTGCCAATATGACATCTCTAATAAAATGGAACTTTGAGGAAATTCTAGCTTCAGAGTCTTCTTTTGTTGGGGGTTTTACTTGGAACCCTGACAGTATAAAACACAAAATGTAGAGGAAGAAAAGCATATTCATGGTTTTAAATCTCTGTAGGAATTTGGAAATATGTCTTTTATCAGATATATTTTATTTTTTTCCATCCTTCCATCACAAAAGTATTGAGAAGCATAGCATATTTTCTGCAAAATAATTCTTCTACTTGACACTGACTTGAAGACACACACGTACACACAGATATTCCGAATAAATCCAAACTAAGAAATCTAATCAAAAAATAAATGTAACAACAATTTATTAGATTACATCCCTAATAAATAGGGACGTGGTGGCTCAGTAGCTAAGTCGCTGAATTTGTCTATCGAAAGGTCAGCAGTTCAGCAGTTCAAATCCCTAGTGCCGCGTAACGGGGTAAACTCCTGTTACTTGTCCCAGCTTCTGCCAACACAGCATTCCGTGCACCTTTGGTGTTTAGTCATGCCAGCCACATGACCACGGAGACGTCTTCAGGCAGCACCGGCTCTTTGGCTTTGATGAGGAGATAAACACCACCCCCTAGAGTCAGGAACGGCTGACTCCTTGCGAGGGAAAGCTTTACCTTTACCTTTATCCCTAATAAATCTATTCCCAGTAAATCAAATCTAATAATTAGATCTAAGGATAATTTATGACATGTGTATTCCTAAAAAAATATTACACACACACACACACACACACACACATCAGGGTTTTTTTCCTATGTTGAAAGATGTTAAATGGCCATGGTGGGATGAAATCTCTATTCATCGCTTTCAGGCCTATGTTGTTTCTTCTGAGACTTATGGGAGACTGGGATAGCACTATTTCGGCCTTCTTGGACCTCTTCAGCCAGACACACCCATATTTTATGACTCCTCCCTGTAGAGGTCAAATATTTATTTCTTTTAATTCATAGGTATAAATGTGTGATATTTTTGCAATCAGGGTTTTTTTTCTCCCATAAGTCTCAGAAGAAACAACATAAAATGTCTGACAGGCCTGAAAGCGATGAATAGAGATTTCATCCCACCATGGCCATTTAACATCTTTCAACATAGGAAAAAATCCCTGATTGCAAAAATATATAATATAAATATATATAATGTAGCTCTCCTTTTGTTCAGCATCTCCAGTATTTATCATCTACAAAACAATCATTATTAGGCCCAAACCAAGAATGAAGACCGAGGAGAAAGAGGAGGAGGAGGATTAACCTCTGGGAATTGTGCAGTGTTTTGGAAAATGCACACCGGATGATTATCTAAGGTGATAATTATGAAATCATCATTACTCTCAAGGCAGAAAAAATATTTTTCCATTCTAATTGCATACAGGTATATACTGTAACTCCTGAACTGATCAAAGTGAGGGTTAGTGTATGTATGTATGTATGTATGTATGTATGTATGTATGTATGTATGTATACATGTATCCATCCATCCATCCATCCATCCATCCATCCATCCATCCATCCATAGATTCAGCAGATCAGTGTATATGCATTTAGTGGTAGGATCCAGAATCATAAAGACCATGGCATACTAAATAGCTGGATGATGATGAACAAAGTAGGAGTAGGAGATCTTAAATTAAGGGACAGTCATTTTGCCTGCTGCATGAGAGGGTCCTTCTTGTCCCTCAGACTTCTTGTGTGTTTGTTGCTGCTGCCACCAACAGATTGTGGGATATCTCCTGCAGTGTGTACCATTCGTGAGTCTCTGAAAGTGCAATACCAATATCTTCAGCCAGGTGATGTGATAATTGGTGGGATAATTTCACAGCTTTTTTCCTTTTCTGGAGGAGCAGACTTCAGCTCACACCCTACACCCAAGTGTGATGTTGAACCTGTGTAAGGAAAACCTCATTGATTTCTGTAATTCTTGGTTATTTCCTGGCAGTGCCACTGATATGCTTTCAGCAACCTGACATAGATTCAAGAAATCAGATTAATTTTACTCCTACATCCATTTATTCTGATCTTCTGGTAATAGAAAAAAGGAGATTTTGAAATAGTGGTCAGACCCAACACACACATGTGGTAATCATGTTATTTTTCATCTCTGCAACTTCTGTCTTATCGCTCTTAGGTTTAACCCAACTATTTGGCTTAAACTTAAAGCTCCAGCACTGAGCAAGCAGTTGGATATTGTGATCTAAACTTCTCTTCTAGCTCTATGATTCTATGATATTTGCCAGATCTTTTTGTATGCTCTGAGTTTATCTGAGTATCTGAGTTAACATCTGATAGAATCAAATCAGTCAGTAAGACGTGCTACATTTGATTGTGTGAAGTGGGAAAACCTGCGGCAGTTTTGGATCAATCTTTTTTTGCTTAAAACCTTGCTACTATACACGTAGCATTATTTATATCCATAGTCCTCCTACTCAAAAATCATTGGGGGGAAATCTCTCCATATTTCTCTGACCTTGTGAGAGGCCGGAAGCAAGTGATTGTTTTGTGACAAGTATGCTGGGTTACATGTAATTTGGTCTGATCCAGGAGGAAAACAATCCACCGTTTAAAAGTTTCACTGCATAAGTTAATGAAGCTATATTTAGTGCAATATCATCTGTAATGTAAAACACTTGTATTTGTTTTAAGGATACATTCTGT